CCGATCCAGGTCCCCTGTTTCCTGAAGTCTGGCCCCATCCTTGCCAACCAGTGGTCAGCCATGGACTTTCCCTTCTGAGGTGATGGTGGAGGCCAGTCCCCAGCATTGCTTCTAGAAGAATGCGTCCAGCAGACAGTCGGAGGGTTCAGAACATCCCTGCGAACAGGCTGTGGTGGAGGGGGATGCATGTGTGTCCGGCGTGTTGCTGTCACTTCTAATGCACTTACTACTGGACCCCGGGAGGATTTGCTCCAGACGTTAGAGTGTAAGCACAGAGCGCAAGCTGTTTGTCCAGGAACTCTGCCCCACCGACACCGTTCACTTACACATTTGGTTACCAAGATCGTTGGCCCTCTCAGAGCTGGATTTCTGCCCTGGAACTTGCCTGGAGTGCAGCTGGCACCCTACGATACTGATGAAACATCCTTAGACATAGACCAATAATTCCCCAGTCGGCAGACGGACCAGGCCAGCTAATGGCCTGTGCGTGGCCCGCTGCCAGATGGGCTCAGGAATCAGCTTCTCTCCCTCCTCGTCCTCCCAAGACCTCTGATCCCGGCTGCTGCGCTTTCCGCTCACAGCCTGCCTGTCCTCTTTAAGTTAACTTCTTAGCTGGCTTTTTTTTTTTTTTTCTCCCCTGTGGCTAAGGCAGATTTTTCAAACTGATCTGTTTATTGTTGGATGTGCACTGTTACCTTGGAAACAGTTCATTTAGATGAAAAGCGTGGTAAATCTCAAATCACCTATACATGTGACGGGGCTATAGTTTCATACAAGGACAAGGTCCTTCTGTCTTCAAATCCTACACGCTGCCCTGCCCGTAGGGCCGCAGTGGCGTCTGTCACAGGCCCTGGGCCACTGAGTGTGGAGCCTGTGAATGTCTGTGTTTATAGTCACAGAGGATTTTAAAGATGATGTCGGAAAGTAAAAGTGGGCGACTTGATTAAGTACAGCCTACTTGAAGGTTGTGCTGGATACACTAGCACGTGAAGGTCGTGACTGACCGATGTGGGCGACACCTTGTAATCGGAGCTGTGTTTGAATGTTGTCCTTCACCCTGTCCAGCTCGCACCTCCCTGGAACTAAATCCAGCTGTGAACGTGGCCTTCTCTAGGTTCAGGCTGTGACCCGGCTTCTGCCCCGTCATGACTCCTTGTGTTTATTGAGTTAATGAAAGGCCACTCTGCAGAAGATCAGAAGTTATTCCTGAAAATGGAATTGGCTTAGTGCTTCATCTTGAAACTTTGACGACGACAGAAAAAGAAACTGAAACCGAATTCCAAAATGAAGGGAACAGTTCCTAATGCTGAATCCGTGACAGCCCTGGGCTGGCCGTGAGCATCAGACTCTGGTCCCCACCGAGGGTGGCCTCTGAGCCTGAGTGGTAGTTACAGCTACTGCCTGGAGGGGGGGCGCTTCATGACAACGTATTTCACTAAACCAAATACCCTTGTTGGGAATTTGCATTTTCAAAGGAAACATTAAATAACCAAAACCAAAACATTATTTTTTTTTTTTTTATGAGGAGGTGAAAGTCATTTTCTGAGAAACAAATAATTACTGTTGACAATTAGGGATGTTGGATATGGAACAGCTGGTGCCAGGAAATTCTGCCCAAACTGTTGAGTTACAACCATAAATTCCACCACCTCTCCTGGCAACGCTGAGAGCTGTAAAGGTGAGCCCCAGAGGAGCCCTCAGCCAGGGCAAGCACTGTGGTGGCCGGGTAGCTGAGTCCTCCAGATCCTGCCGGGGAAACCTGACTGATTTGGGTTATACCATCCACCTGCTTTGTTCCAGATGGCAAACTTGAAAAACCAGAACAAAGCAGGACAGGTATGGCCACTGGTAGCTACCCAACACACCTTGTTCTGCTCATGGAACCCTCAGACGTCAGCACAGAAGCTTGCATGGATTTCGACTCTTTCATAAGCTGAAATCAAGACATTTCCCCAGAGCTCTGCCTGTGAAACAAAGCAGACGCTTGGCATTTCCAGATGCTGTGTGAACGATCTTTGTTCAGGACCACTTCTTAATGATGTGCAGAAGAGAAGGGCAGAGGGTGGACCAACCCAGTTGGAACAGCTTAAGTTGGTGGAGATAGAGGACTTAACTCAGGGGTGTGAAAAGCCTTGGAGGAGCCAAGACGCCTTTGCACACCAATTACAGTTTATGAGGCTGCGGGGTTGAGAGAGCAAACTTAAGAAGTGGGAGGAAACATAAAAACAACAGAAAAGCAACGGAGAAGCTCCAAATGCAGACTCATCACAGCCAGGAGGCCAAAGCCCATGTTTCATAAGGGTTAGGCATAATTTCCGTGGTTTAACATGATATTAAAGAACGCTAATCTTGTTGACATTGAAAAATGGAAGCATTTCCACGGTTGATAGAGAACAGTTCCTACAAACCTGACATAGTTTATTATTATATGAGTAAAACTTTGCATTCTTTTTTTAATAATTTTCTTAGAAATATAATAAAGTCTGTTCATGAGAAACACTTGGTATAAAATAGTTCAAGGCTTCTACAAACAAAAATAAGTAAAAATATCATGGTACACCTCAGGCTAAAGGCACCAGGTGATACTGCAGGGCTGCTGAGAGCCCAGGCGTGGCGGGGGGGGGATCATTTCCACTTCCCATCCAGGGGAACTTTCACAGGAGTCCAAAAACTGGCTCTAAAGTGATTTGGGTCACAGACCCCTTTGAGAACTTGAGGAAACCTGCTGGTGGTTTGCTCGGCAATCTTGGAGGCGTGGCCCGCCTAGAACTTGTAGGATTTCAGGTGTCTGTGGATCCCCTGGTCCTTTATGCCTTTATTCCCTTATTTAGATATTCATATACTCAGTCTGGTACTGCAAAACATTACAGACTCTGAAAATATGTTCATGGAGGCTTTTCAGGGTAAGAAAAATGTTTGTTTTAGACACTGAGTTATAAAAATGCTGAATTTAAAAGTTGCTCATACTTCCCTCAATCATGTTAAAAAAAAATAACATATTTACACACACACACACACGAGAGAGAGAGAGAAAGCACCAGAATCAAAGGTGAGGAGCTAATGAGGAATTATTGTCCCCGGGAGGAGGGATGGTGAGTACTTTCCTCCTCTCTTGTTGTGTTTCTCCCCACGTAAGCCAGTGCACACACTCTGTCCTCACAGAATCTCTTCTGTTGGTGCAGCATCTCTGAGAGGCCCCTAGTGAGCTCTCAGCCAGGCTTTCTGGACACTGCTTTGCGTCCTCAACCCAAGTGTGACTGTCCAGGCACCATGTGTGGGGAGAGGATGGAGGCCACCAAGACAAAGGAGAACCGGGCATCTTTACAAATCCTGTCTTCCCTCCAGATTCAAGAGGAAATCTTGTTCTATCAGTTCACACTCAGAAATGCCGTGGAACAGGACACAAGTTTTCTGCTCGGGACCCTTGAGCCCTCCTCATAGACTCGGCCGAGGCAGAGCCTCATGACAGCTTCCTGGGCCCTGCTGTCCCTCGATGCCCCATCACGCTGACAGCTGGACACATCGCCGGACCCTGCTCCACCTGCAGGGGTCATGCTGCTCTGTCTGAGGGAAGGAGATCACGGCTTCTCCTTTCCCCTTGGGGATGATTTTCAACCACCACCGACGCGGAGCCCCATGGGCCCCGAGTTTTCTGTAGAATTTTCAAATTTTGCTTACACGCCCTGAACAGGGAGACAAATATGAGTGGAAATCAAGTCCTCTTAGAGCCCAAATGGCAAATGGCCGTCTCCCCGGGACCCAAGGACCTCCATCCAAACGGGTACTCCTTACTGGACCACATCTCACCTCCCGGCTCTCCCGCCCCAGAGGGGCCCCACCCTGGCTGTGCCCTCAGCCCTCCTGCGGGTGGACTTGTGCAAAGCTCTGGGGACACATGCAGGCTTACCTGAGAGCAAACGGTGATGCCACGGGGCTGAGCTGGACCCAAACTCCCCATCTCCATCATCTGCCGACACGCCTCTCGACAAAGAGCGCTTTTACAGTCAGGAGAGAGAGGGACAGGGCTGCTTCGAGAAACATCCCCGAGCACCAGCAGCTGCTAACAAATTGAAAGGAAGACGAGCAGACATTACAGGCCCCCTGCTGGAAGCCATCACTTTTAAAGTAATCACACAAAACAAACAACCCGCTTCTGACAAAGGCACTAGATCCACCTAAATTACAGGAAGTGCAGAGGAGCTACTAAGGGATACCACAGAGATGTAACTTGCAAAGTCCTGAAATCAGCAAAAAAAAAAAAAAAAAAAATGGAGACGCAGTAAGGTATGCGATCTTTCTGTAACAGATAAATGGAATAGAAAAGTAAATGAGATTACAGAAGAACCTACAGACTAAAAGAGAAGAAAGACACATCAGCCAATTGCAAACTATGAGCTTTATTTAGATTCTGACTCTGATGAGCGATGAAATTTTGACATTGACGACATACTTGGGAATGGAACGCTTCGTATTTAATGACATTAAGGGATTATCGTTAAAAATTTTAGATGTCACAATGGTATTGTAGTTATGTTGAAAAATCTAAGACTCCTTATCTTTTAGAGATGTGAATTGAAATATTAATATGTCTAGAATTTGCTTCAAAATGCTATAGGGATGGGGGCATAAACTGATCATCTTTGGAGCTGAGTGGACACGGAGGGCCTTTATTTTTGTACAAGTATGAAATTTTCTTTAGAAAAAAGTTTTCTAAAGAAAAAACTTTCTTTAGAAAAAGGGGAACAGACACACTGTTGAGGGGAGTTATTTCCAAGTACAAGTGAACCTGAAAGCCAAGGGAGGGGAAGCATGACCACCAGGAATGCTAATCGTGGAAGTTAGAAGGGGTAGGGGCCCAGGGAGACTGCCCGGCGACTGAAAATAACTGTGCACCTATAGACAGTAGGTGGGAAATGATGCAGGTCGATGCCCGCACAGACGCGGCCCTCCGCTCTGGAGAGCTGGCACTGTCCCTCACTGTGGGTCTCTCTGTCCCCCAGGTGGTCCGTGGGGAACTGGAGCGCCTGCAGCCGGACGTGCAGTGGAGGCACCCAGAGCCGGCCTGTACAGTGCACGCGGCGGGCACACTACAAATCGGAGCGGGTCTCCGCCAGCCTGTGTCCGCAGCCCGTGCCCTCCAGCCGGCAGGCCTGCCAGCCTCAGAGCTGCCCACCCGCGTGGAGCACCGGGCCCTGGGCAGAGGTAATGGGGCAGGGCCAGCGTACGGGGGCGGCGGGGCCCCTCCTAGGCAACGTGGGGCTGGAGTCTTACCGGGCCTTGCAGGAGCTGACGCGCTCTTCCCGTGCAGTGCTCTCGAACCTGCGGGAAGGGGTGGAGGAAGAGGTCCGTGGCCTGTAAGAGCACCAACCCCTCGTCCAGGGCGCAGCTGCTGCCTGACGCTGTCTGCACCTCGGAGCCCAAGCCCAGGACTCACGAGGCCTGTCTGCTCAGGCGCTGCCACAAGCACAAGAAGCTGCAGTGGCTTGTGTCCGCCTGGTCCCAGGTAGGTGCACTGGTCCCAGGTGGGTGCACTGGTCCCACTTGGGTGCACTGGTCCCAGGTGGGTGCACTGATTCCAAGTAGGTGCCCTAGCCCCAGATAAGTGCACCTGATTCCAGGTAGGTGCACCTGATTCCAGGTAGGTACACTGATCCCAGGTGGGTGCACTGATTCCAGGTAGGTGCGCTAGCCCCAGATAGGTGCACCCAATTCCAGGTAGGTGTGCCGGGTCCCAGGTGGGTGTACCTGGTCCAAGGCAGGTGCATTAGTCCCAGGCAGGTGCACTAGTTTGAGGTAGGTGCACTGGTCCCAGGTTGCTGCACTGATCCCAGGTGGGTGCACTGGCCCCAGGTAGGTGCACTGGTCCCAGGTGAGTGTACCTGGTCCCAGGTTGCTGCACTGATCCCAGGTAAGTGCACTGTCCCCAGGTAGGTGCACTGGTCCCAGGTAGCTGCACTGATCCCAGGTGGGTGTACCTGGTCCCAGGCAGGTACACTAGTTCCAGGCAGGTGCATTAGTTCCAGGTACGTACACTGGTCCCAGGTAGGTGCACTGGCCCCAGGTAGGTGCATTTGGTCCCAGGTGGGTGCACTGGCCCCAGTTGGGTTCACTGATCCCAGCTGGGCACACTGATCCCAGGTAGGTGTGCCGGGTCCCAGGTGGGTGCACTGGTCCGGGTAGGTGATCCAGGTCCCAGGTGGGTGCACCAGGTCCAGGTGAAACTGGGTTGACCAGCTCCTGCCTTGGGGCTGCCTCTCATCTGGTCCCTCTGCTTCCACTTCTCCTCTGCTTCTTCTTCCCCAGAGTCTCTGATCCCTGCCCATACCCCAGTATTCAGTCCTCCCTCCTGACACGCACTCGTTGGAGTGTCCTTCGGCTTTCTCATCACATCCCTGGCGTACCTCACCCAGGTCATCCACGCGCTCATCACTCCCTCATGTTGAGCAGCGATTAAGTGGGTGAACGGGTGCAGGCGTGAGGGGAGGGGTGTTCATTGCGCTGACCATGGGGTGGGGGCACCCACTGCACCCCAGAACACCTGCAGCCACTTCCCTGGCCATGCTTAGGTAGTAGAGCAGGTGGATGACCTCAGGAGACAGAGGACCCGTTCCCTGAGAGGAACGTGCATAGGCAGGCTTCTCATTTGGGGAAGAGACTGCTTGTGCTGGGTTTGCTCAATGCCTTGTGCTGCTGAAGGCTGGGAAGCCCCTCATCTGCACTGTCGGGGGACTGTCCCAGCCCTGCTTCTCTGAGACCAACATTTGGAAACACGAGTTTGGAGTGTTAAAGGTTTTGTGACTCGCTTTGGCCCAAGTGGGGGCCGGACACCCTGCTGGGAAGCAGACAGAGCTGCCCACCCCCGTGCCCGGGAGGGGACGTTGGGAGGCCATGCCAGCCCCCTTCCCGGGTGCAGTGAGCCCAGGTGCTGCCTGAGAGGCCTGTGAGAGGCTCCTTCAGAGAGGTGTGCATCACTCAGAGGCACGGGAGTCAGTAAAGCACAGCAGACATCAGAAAGCCAGCAACCCAGAGAGCAGCCACCACCGCCACCCTCGGGAGCTCGCCTGTGATCCCAGCTGCGGGGCTGCCTTTCCATAGCAGACAGGAAGAGAAAGGCCCCAGCTCCCGGATCCCGCGCCCTCAGGGGCAGACTCAGGGCCGCAGCCCCCGTACCCACACCTCCAATGGCAACCTGCTCAGGAGGGAGGAATGCATCAATAAAGGGATGGTGTGCCGAGCAGGGCATTTAACCCGGGTGAGACAACACGTCCGTTTGCCACTGAAAACTAAAAACATCATCACCCTTGGATAAAACCTGTTTCTGCTAAGGTAGAATTCCTGGTCCTCTGTCGCCTGGGACCTGGGAACATCAGAGTCTCTAGGACTGAATCGCGTTGTTGTTAGAAGACTTTTGTTTCTGTGCATATCCCCAGAGGCTAAGTCCTTAGGAAGGAAGCAACTTGGGCTGCATAGTGTCTGGGAGGTGTCCCCCGGGAAGCCCTTGCACTGAATGTATAACACATACGGGTGCATACACACACACACACACGCACACACACACCCCAGAACTTCTCTCTTAGGCATGGCCCCAGCAAGGCCCTGGGAAGAGTCCTCCAGCTCATTCCTGGCATCAGGACACACTGAGCACACCTGTAAGCCAGGTCTGAACATGAGTGTGAGGCCAGAACCCAGGCATCTGGGCTCCTCCACTTATGTGATCTGCAGAAATGTCAGCCCAAGGCAGCAATGCCAGCCACTGGGACCTTCCCCGTGACCTCCGAGCTGACCTTTTGGTCTTCTCTGTCATCCCTCTGTGACAGGTGTCTGCAGCCTCTGCCTGGCCACAGATTTGCCCAGAGTCCCACCGCCCATGCCAGAAGGTCTGGCTGCAGTGACAGCTCAGGCTCAGAGCACATCACCGTGGGACCGAATAGGTTTGCTGTCTGTGCTCGCTGTCTTCAGGGCAGCACTCGGCTTTCTGAGGATGATTATGAACCCTGGGTTTCCCCTGCCTGCCCCTGCTTTAGGGGCCAGCATCACGCTGCAGTTGGGTGGTGTGAATCCATGGAGCTACACATGGAGCTATTAAATTTCAGTGCATTCTGGTGTCAGTTACAGCCCAACATTTTAATTTCCCAGTGAAGCAGTAGCTCCAGAATTAATCTCTTCATGGTTTCTGATTGCCCTGCCCCAACTCATGCCCCCAGTGCTAGACCACTGCGACCACAAGGTCTTCCTTTTTATGGCAGATACTGTAACACCTTTTTAACATGCCAAGGTCCCATATATTCCACTGACCATTTATACTTAGGAAAACGGTCAAGCTGATATAATCAGGAGGCTTCTCGACTCAATGATTTTGTAGAAGAGACAGCCACCACAGGAGAAATACCTTTCACTCGCATCCTTTGTTGTCTTTTCTTTCCAGTGCTCTGTTACGTGTGAAAGAGGAACACAGAAAAGATCCTTCAAATGTGCTGAGAAGTATAGTTCTGGGAAGTACCGCGAGCTGGCCCCGAAGAAGTGCTTGCACCTACCGCAGCCCCACCTGGAGCTGGAACGCATCTGCGCCCCATTTCCCTGCCCTAAGCACCCCCTGTTCGCAGCTGCAGGCTCCCCACAGGCCGACTGGTTTGCCTCGCCCTGGTCTCAGGTAGGGGTGAAGGGAGGGCGAGCAGAGCCCCTGCTCAGTGTTGGCGGCTGGCCTCGGTGGAGAGGTTCCGGCTGGATGTGAGCTGCTCGAAAGCAGAGAGTCACAAAACAACCATCCCGACTGGTATTTACCCAGAGATCACTTTGTGGCAAGTGTCCTGCTAAGTGTTTTACTGTGTATCCTACACACTAACAGGTGGGTAGATACATACATACATACATACATACATGTACATTTTATATATACAGTCCCCAGTGCCTACCAGGGCACCGAGCCCATACAGAGTATTCACAGAATATTTGCTAAATATGGAATTCTAAATGAAAAACAAATTCAATGAGTGACTCAGGGGGGCTTCGCTGGTGGTGCAGTGGTTAAGAATCCACCTGCAAATTCAGGGGACACGGGTTCGAGCCCTGGCCTGGGAAGATCCCACATGCCGCAGAGCAAAGAAGCCCGTGTGCCACAACTACTAAGCCTGCACTCTAGAGCCCGCGAGTCACAACTACTGAGCCCACGAGCCGCAACTACTGAAGCCCGCGCGCCTAGAGCCCATGCTCTGCAGCAAGAGAAGCCACCGCAAGGAGAAGCCCGTGCACATGTGTTTCTAGTCACTGAGGATCTCCCCAAGTCTGTGTACCTGATGGGATGAGGGAGGAAAGCTCCCAGAGGAAGCATCGGGAACGTGGCCAGACCAGCTCCTAAAGAAGCAGGCTGCTGGGTCCCCAGCTCCACAGAAATGTGTAACCAGTGTTGATCTGGGTAAGCTTTACTAAGAACTGAACAATTACTGTTATTGATCTGCCAGTGGGGCAGGCCACATCCCAGGCAAGACACGCTCGTCTACACCACCTGTCCTGGAAGGGACATCAGTGTTCTGTGTGGAAATCAGTGCCAGCCAGGGGCCGGGCAGGAGGAGTGACTGGTGCAACCACAGTGCTTAGCCAGACGGGACCAGTGGTGCCAGACTTTGACCAGCTCTCCCTCCATCTGAGTCTCCTCACGTATTTCCTGGCCTCTGGGACCCGTCTTCAATCCCTCCTGATGCAAAATCCCTTTCCTGAGGCCCCTGCACCATGACAGCCGCTGTGCGTGGCTCCTCTCAGAAGGGACACCACACCCTGCCTCCTGGGCATGTCCTGTGTCTTGCCGTGAACAGTGTCCCCAAAACTCATGTCCACCCAGGACCTCAAAATGTGATCTTATTCAGAAATAGGAAGCTTGCAGGTTTAATTAGCTAAGATGAGGTCATTCTGGATTTGGGCGAACCCTAACCCAATGACCAATGTCCTTATAGGACACACAGGGGAAAGGTCATGTGATAATAGAGGCAGAGGTCACATTGATGCAGCTATGGGCCCAAGAACACCCAGGATTACCGGCAGCCGCCGGACTCTGGAAAAGGATGAGCAGATTCCCCCTTAGGACCTCCAGAAGAGATGGAACTTGCTCCTTCTGCCAATGTCTTGATTTTATACTTCTGGCCTCCTGAACTGAGAGAGTTGTTTCTGCTGTTTCAAGCCCCCCAGCTTCTGGTCATTTGTTCCAGCAGCCCTGAGCATCTAACATGGTGGTTATTGGCGTTACCGAATCTAACCTGGGTCTGCTTGCCCAATGCACAGCAAAGCCAATCTACTGACACCATTTTGTGGTGAAGGAAGGTACAGTGTTTACTGCAGGCACCAAGCAAGGAGAACAGCCTCAAAAAGACCTAAACTCCCTGACAGCTTTCAGGAAAGGGTTTTTAAAGACTGAGGGAGAGGGTTACGGGGTACATGATCAGCTTGTTCACAGTTCTCTGATTGGTTGATGGTGAGGTAACAGGGTGGTATTTCAGGAATCTCAGTTGCCGATTTTCTGGCCCCAACCGGTATGGGCTCTATGTGCTGGTTGGTGGTCAGCATGCAGTTGACTTTCTCTGGTGGGGTTTCATTGTCTGCAAAACAACACAAGGACATGGCTCAGGATGTTATCTGTTGCCCTTGAGGAGGAATCAAAGGTCCTTGACTTTGTTTTATGGCTAAACTATTATTATTTTGTATTACTGGACTTTTCCTTTGTTTCTGCATTTTTTAACTTCTCTGATTAAATTTTAATTTTTGGAACTTGGGGAAGGCCTAGGAGGTTAAAGCTTTTCTACAAACAAGAGGCGGGGGACACTGGGGGTGTCTGTCCCCAGGAAGGCCCCGCAGGGTGCTGCTCATTTTCAGTTGTGTCCTTGTCCCATCATGTTTCCTCCTGACCCCCCAAGGGTGACTCCCAGCAGCAAGGGCTGTGCCTAAAGTTCCTTCACATTCCTCTTAGCCCAGCTTGGAGTCTGAGGACAGTGGGCATGTGAGCTACAGCAGCTGAATCTGACAATACCATGGTGTCCGCCAGCACAGGGGTTTCTCCAGAAGGAGGAACATGAATCTCAGAGGGGAGACCTCAAGGCTCTGTGACCCACAGTCCCCTGATCCAGGAATGGCCAAGAGGTGACAGGCGGTGGGCTCTTTCACTCTCAGCTCTCCTGATTCCCCACAGACCGGGGTCCCCAAGCATGGCACCCACCCTCCCTCATGTGTGCCCACCACCACCAATTCTATTGAACAACCTTCTGACGTAAACTCAACCCTGAATGCAAACCTGAAATGAACAAGTTTGACAGAGCAAAAATCACACAGAATTATTATTTTTATCTAAGTCCAAAGGAAACAAACGGAAATATATATTGGAACCAAATTAAGCCACCACGGAATTTTTTTCAGTATTAGCTAAAATTTTACTAGAATAAAACCAGTTCAAAATCCCCCCAAATGAAGCCCCAATTCATTCTGTTGGAGCTCTGCTGTGTATGTGAGCCCAGGATTGGCTGGTAATCAATAATCTTCTCTAGAAATCGCAACATCCCAGCCCGGCCATTGCCGTCCCTCTGGTGCCTCTGCCATATCCCTGGTCCCAAACTCTGAGCTCTGAAGAAGGAAACCATCCCTCAGTCCTTGGAGAGGAAGAGGCAGAAAGACCTTCCACCCACTGTATGCACTGCCCTCTAGCTCTGTTCTTGCTTTGCTTGGTTCCTCTTATCTTCAAACTTGATGCTGCTTTTTCATTTACAAATATATGAACTCCTCCCCAAATGGTATTTAAATTAGAATTTGTTTAATTTAGAATATCGGACCAGGGGACCTTTGAACCACATCCTTCTCAAGCATTTGCTATTTTTTAAGTAGGTCAAAAGTATCACTTGCTACACACGTTTCCCTTCTATTTTCCTCTGAGTGCGCAGGCTTTCCAGCAAGGTGAAGGGATGGATGAGCTAAGAAGCTGAGTCGAGTTGTTTCTGAGGCAGATGCTTCGCTTTCTCTGTCTTTTTGAGAACGTGAGTCAGAGACAAGTACAGGTGGTTCCCAAGACCATGGTCCGTCTGTCCGTGGGGAGACTGAGGCTCCTGAGACTGAATCAGGCCAGTATTCACTCTGCTCAATTCAGAGACTTCAGGCAAATTTAGAAAAAGAAAAACAAGGTTTATCCTTATTTACTTTAAACCAAAACCTACAACCTAAAAATACATCTTGCATAGTTTTCCCCAGCCTGAAATATTCAGTCTGTCTGTCTAATAAGTCATTTTTTTCATAAGCTACTTGAAGATCTTATCCAGTGTGACTCATCTATTACGTTCCGAGTCCATAACTTTTGGGAGTAATAACTCAAAGGCTATGTTTGCCATGAGCTCTTGTACCCAAAGCTCTGCGCCCTGCAATCGTGGGAAATTGTGGGACGGAGATGCGTGGCCAGTGCCTGGCTCAGCTTTGCCCCCAGACAGGTTATTCCTGTAACAGCAGGAAGATGGCGGGTTCTGTTATTTGATCAGGAGAGTTTCTGTTGGTCTCAATGGCCCGGCTTATCATTTTGGTTAGTAGTGCATCGTCTGGCAGGACTGACTTCATTCATTTGGGTCGTTTGGGCTTAGCATCCAGTGGATCACACGCTAACCTGGTCTTGGAAAGGCTTAAGTACAAACACCTGCTGGACTGTGTCTGACTCTACATGACAGAGACTGGGTGTGTTCTCAGTGCTGGAGCGCCGGGGCCCTGTCTTGTTCCGGGGTTCCTCACCAGGACTGTGCACAAGTTGATGTGGAGACCCTTGGGCTTTCAGGGGCAAAGAGCCATGTCCCAGACGTCATCCATAGGGTTTTCCATCTTGGCAACTATGACTGCAACAATGTATCAAACACACACACACACACAGACACACATATGGGCATACACGTGAACACACACACACGGGCCCACACAGAACATGTGGAGACTTCGGCAGGCTTGGTCTGGATGAGTGTGGTCAGTCCATCACAGAGGGCTGCCCTGCACCCTGGACCCATTCGCCCACCTCTAATAATTTGCTCTCATCCTCTTCTAATTATGAGGGTGCACAGGAAAACAGGAGCCGTTTTGTTGACATTGATGGATAAGGTCGCCTGAGCTGGAGGGAGTCTGCCTGTAACCAATTGAATCCGTACAAAAATACACAGCCCCGTCTATGTTTAGAGCAGAAATTTTGTGTGTTGTCCCATCCTGACTGAGTAGACATTTGGTCTCTGGGAGAAGTTATGGTGGCTGAAGCTCCAGACTTGGAGAGGTCCACGAAGGTGATAAACAAGGGAAGAAACCGCCCCCCTCCAGCCTCTGTAGAGGCTTCACAGAAGGAAGATGAAGGTGTGAGGCCTCTGGCTGTCTGCAGTTAACATGCCTTTGTTGACTACGTGTCCATGCATTTGAGAGATGAACTTTGCCCTGGAAGAAGCCCCGTGGTTTTACAGGTTCCTGTGAATGTGACAGGTGGACAGTTACCTTAGACTAAGACCACGTAGAACATCAATCAGGACTTAGAGCTCTCAGACATCGCCTTCCACTAGCATTTTTCCATGAAGACCAATAACATAAACAAGAGTAGTCACTCTAATTTAAAACAAACCCGGAGGCAAATGTTATTATTTAAAAATGTATCTTTGTTGTTTTTTTTGATAATGACTAAGAGTAATCATCAATTCCCCCATTCCTCCAGTCAGAGGATAGCAGTGCCTCTTATACAGGGGTGGCCAAGCCTCCTAGGAACACGGGGATCGCCGAGGGGACAGGGCACACAGAGGACATCCGAAGGGAGAGGTCTTTCAGCATTTCAATGTCCGTGGAGTCTGTCTGAGTGGATGTCTGCCCTGAGACTCCCTGGAAGGGGGCAGGACTGGTCAACCTACAGGGGCCCTTTCAGAGCAGAGTGTGCTGGTCTGCATGGGGTCCAGGGGAGGACGGGCATGCGTCACCCTCCAGAAGGCCGTTTAATTCTAGAATGACAAGAAGACCGTCATTGCTAGACCTCAGGGGGCCGTCCCACGGAACCCTGCCTCGACGTTTTTCTCCATCTGGTTCCTTGGTTCTTGGACGGAGCCCTGGTCTCAGGCCCTGTCACCAGCAGCAGCATGTGGGGGTGAAGGGCCAGAGGCTACGGGAGGGGGCTTAAGGCCCCGGGGCCCCAGCAGTGGGGTGAGCAGCCCATGCCTCCCACCCACAGAGTGGGAGTCATCCACATTTTCTGGCTCAGGGACATTCAGACCGAGGCCCTGGAAGGTGAGCAGAAGTGAGCAGGGTGCAGTGGGGAGAGTCCATGGACTGAAGATCGTGACCACCAGGGCCACGTGGGGGAAAGTCTCAGGTGCTCATTTAACTGTTTGCAGTCAAGCAGCAGGTCAGCTTGACGTGCTGGTTTTGTTAGATTGAATGTGACTGAAGTCAGTTCTGAAAATAGAAGAGGACGGTGCTCTTGCCGGTGTGGTTCCGGTCACTCAATGGAGAGCAGTTCTCCGGGTGTGTCCCGACCCGTAGCAGCGTGGCTACACATGCAGGTTCTCGGGCCCAGCCCAGACCTGCTGGCGCTCAAGCTTTGGGCCTGGGCCCCAGCATTCTGCTTTGCTGAGACCTGTGGTTCATTCGGACATGCATTCGAGCTTGAGAGCCACTGGTGTGGAGGGTGTCTCCTGCAGCAGGGGGTCTGGACAGAGGGCGACAGCAGCTGTCACTCTGCAGGTCAGAGAGCAGGTGCAGGACACCGTCAGCGCCCGGCACGGCGGCCGCCTCTCCTGCCATCAGTACGAGGAATGGCCTGAGACGCTCAGGCTAAACCCTATGAAGCTGAGGAAGAAGACTTAGCCTTTGACTTCAGATCTGAGCTCCGGTCTCTCTTTCCACCGAGTATTCCTTTCCCAGCAGTGTTGTGTCCTGTGACTTGTCCTCCACACCTGCTGCTCCTGCAGCCCCAGCCGCTCGCTCTCCACCCTGGGAGTCTGCACAGAGATTCTTAGGATCAACCCATCTGCAAATCCAGTGGAAAATCTGGAATGTGATTTCTAAACCCCATGCTGAGTTTGAGGCCGTTATGTTTATGATATAGCTGAACGACTTGCATAGCTTTTCCTTCCTGGGGAAAACAAACACAAAAAAGTGAATAAACTTTTTCAGATTCCTTCTTTTTCTTCCCTCTCCTGCTCTATCTCAGGTTCTATCAATGTGAAGTATTTTCAAAATCTGCAGCCAAACATTTTAGTCCTTTCTGTTTACATGAAGAAACACAAAAGTTGAGCAATTTGGAGGCTTTTTTCCTAAAAATATGTCTCTCACGGGGAGTTTAAAATCTCTCTAGACCACTTCTTCTCACACTGGGTGTTCTTATGGATCATCGGGGGGTTGCGCAGATTCTGAGGCAGCGTCCGGAGGTGGGAGGCAGGGATGTTGACAGACTCCCAGCTGTTGCCAGGGCTGCTTGTCCAGAAACCGAGCTTTGAGTAGCGGCTTTAGAAAGTGCCCCGAGGAAGGGCAAGCTGCTTGTGCTCAGCACTAGTGTCTGGAGCCTAGAGCAGTGCCTGGTAAGAGGAGGAGGATGAGGTCTCTTTGTGAATAAATTAACCAATGACGAAAAAAGAATCAAACCACTTGGTGCTGTTTAAGTGATGCAAAATGCTGGCCAGATCTCTTGATTTCTAATTGAGGCATAACATCTTTAGCAAGAGTGGAATTCTGCCTCTGCTGCTGTTGATGAAAGAAACTCAACTCACAAGGCAGAGACATTCAGCACCTACAGAGGAAGATGTGACTGAAGAGACCCTAGGAACCCTGTGGCAGTGCAGCCCTGTAAGTTCTCAGTCCACGATGGTAGCTGAGGGAGGGCCTGGAACCAGAGTGCAAAGCACCAAGGCCAGAATTGCGGCTCTGCCGGAATGTTCAGAAAGATGTTATAGGCAGTGGGAAACACCTAGCTCTATCGCGGATGAGCCTCATGGTTCAGGAATCAGACATGAGTCTGCCCACAACACTGTTGTTTTCCTGGCTGCCATAGTCATATACTGAAACTGAACTACTGATGACTTTCGCTGAAATTGGTTTTGAAGAGAAGGGGTAAGCCTCACAGAATGTTCCAAACCCACATGCTTATCAGCTAAAGCCCTGGATTTTCTCTCCAGGGGCCCAGCCATCCTTTCCCTAAAGAGAAAAAAAAAGAAGCAGGAACAATTCCTTCGGCTTATGAGTTTTCAGGACTCTCTGTTTCCAACTTTTCTCCCCCCGAGGGGCAGATAGAGATGTTTTACTTACTCCATCGCGGAGTCCCTATCCCAGGGGATGCTAAAGCCACTTCTCCAGGCTCTGTTTGCAGCGGGTCCTGAACATCCGGCTGCAGGCAAGCGTCTGGCTGCGGGCTGTTTCTGCTGTGGAAGACCAGCCCCAGGGCTGCTCCAATGGGGTCCTGGCACACGGACCTGTACATTCTGGCAGCAGCCTGAGTTATGTGTATCCCTAAATCTGCACGGCTTTATCCTCGTGTTTTAAAGCAACCATTTAGCTTATCCACAGGATATCCAAAACGTTCTCTGACCCCGACTTTTTGCAGGTGCTCCTTTAATTGCTTACATTCTTAACTGTCTTGAAGTCACAGCCTTGTCTGAGCACAATTCACATGCTTCCGTCTAGACCTCGAGTCGCCTTCTTTTGGGGCATATTCACTGCTACACGTTTAGGCCCCTCCGTCTCTCTGATCACCCACGTCCCTCCTGGTTTATTGCCGGCAGTTGATCTCAGATGGACCCGCTGCTGTGGTCTGTGGGGTGTGCGCCCGGCCAGCTGGTGAGAGATGGTCTGATCCAGCCTCTCCTTCCTATTCTGGCCCCTCTGTGCTCTGTGCCTTAGAGCGCGGGGGCCTCGGCGTCGGGAAACAAAGTTCCCGGAAGCACGCAAAAGAGCCCAGGGAACCTCCAGACATGCAGAGTCCCTGCGCTTGGGGTCTGGAAGGGGCTGAGTGTCAACTCCTGGGGAGTTGGCCTGTCAAGCTTTTCCAGGTCAGGGGCACCAGAAGGGCTGGCTTGGTGATGGCGTTTCATGAGAGACCCATAGCCTGCATCCCCAGATGCGTGCCACTTTTTGGTGTCCATCAGACCCTTGATGACTCAAGGACATTCAGGCTTCTGGGCACTTCTCCCCAGTGTCCATACCTGGGAAAAATCCAGAATCTGCTCAGCCACACACAGTGGTTAGTTGAGGCAGACCACCGTGAGGAGCCTGGGGGGGGGAGCGGGCGAGAGCAGCTGACCCAAGGACCTGGTGGCCCCGGTGACTCTTGCTTGTGCTTCCCGCAGTGCACGGCCAGCTGTGGAGGCGGCATGCAGACGAGGTCCGTGCAGTGCCTGGCGGGGCGCCGGCCAGCCGTGGGCTGCTCCGCGCACCAGAAGCCCGCGGCCTCCCAGGCCTGCAACACCCGCTTCTGCCCCATCGCACAGAAGAAAGGTGAGTGTCGGAGCCCCTCAGCTTGACCTTGGCGTTTCGGGGGGGCTGTCCCGTTTCCGGAGTGTCTCCTAAGAGGGTTGAGGAGGTGCTGGGTGCCTGCTAGGCCGAGGGGTTGGTGTCGGCTCCCCGGTTCTCTCTCCATCTCCTCCCCCAGCTTTCCCATGACATAGCCCACAAAGCAGACCCCTTGCTTCTCACGCCACCCCAGAAATGACACAGATGGCTGGGAAATCAGATTGCTCCTGTTTCACTGCTGCTCTTTATATTCAGAGAAGCCGATTTTAAGTAGAGCAGCCTTTTCCGCCCGAGGTAAAGGAGAACCCAGATTATTCCTTGGATGTGCTCTAAACGCCATCCCTGTGCACACGCCCTCGGTGCCTCAGGTATTTGCGGGGACCATGCCCTGTGTATCTGTTGAGGTTTCTGGAAGAGAAAATGGGGCTGGAGGAGAATGAGTGGTTTGGCTCAATCAGGGACTCAGCAATTGGAGTCCAGTCCACAGAAGCCCCATCGCCTTGGGTGGATGAGTGGTTATGTGGATGGGTTTATCACAAAAAGCAGAAAATTTCAACTTTGCAGGAAGCTTCCAAGAAAGGTCTTGTGAAAACAGTACAACCCACATGGCCCATTTGACCTGAGGAGCTGCCCTCCTTCAGCAGCTTCAGGGCAATGACAGATTTACCTTGATTTTCTGGAGTTATTGGCAGTGGCAGCAGACACGGGGTGCTGGCACGGTGACTAACTCTGGACTGTTCACTTTCAGACACCTTCTGCGAGGACCGCTTCCACTGGTGCACCCTGGTGCCCCAGCACGGGATGTGCAGCCACCACTTCTATGGCCAGCAGTGCTGCAAGATGTGCTCCACATCCAACCTGTGAGCTGACAGGGCACAGGAGGTACCTGTTTCCAGCACCAGCGAGCTGTGTGGTCTACACCGGGGTGCTTCCGAGGAAGACGGAAGCTGGGAGAAGAAAAAACATCTGGGGCTCTTATATATGATTCTGTGCATGCCTGTGTGTGTGTGTGTGTGAGCACGTGAGCGTGTGTGTGATTTGTGTGTGTGAGCGCATCCCCAGGCACATGGACATGCTCTCGGGGAGGTGGGGATGTCGAGTCAGGCCACAGGGTGCACTGTGCAGCAGGGCACGTGCTCACCTAGAAGTGCAGAGCTTTGTCAAGGAAGGCAGGCCAGGAAATGAGGGAGAAATACAGAACATCTGCCTCTAAGGCTGCCGGCCCAGCTCCCACCTGGAGGTCCCTTCCGACGGCGAGATCAGCTTTGGGCTGAGTCCCCAGGCCCATCCTGCCCCAAGAGCAGTTTCTCTGCACAGGGACCTGGGGCCCGGACAGGAGAGCTGGTCTCCATCCTGACTGGGGACCTCGCCTCTGGAAACGGGAAAATGAAATCCCTGCTAGGGTGCTCCTGTCCCTTTCATACTCGTGTGCTGGAGGAAGAGAATTTTCTTATTTTATGTTTTATCTTTCTCAGTTATTTACAAGTGAGTGTTCCTATTTAAACCCATTTCTTACTGCTTTTCTATTTCAAGTGACAGAATTACAGGTTGTATCTGAATTAGAGACTTACCGGTTACACCGAATCCCCACCGTCCTACTGAGGACTAGTGGTGGGTCCACTTGGGCAGATGTCAAGTGATGACCTTGGAGCCCTGTGTTTCATTTTTGTATTTTGCGGGGTTTTCAAAAAAAATGTTTCCGTAAATTTTGGTTGTTTTTGTAACACCCATTCAGAAGGAAGGCCTATTTCCTGGTGAAAAGCTGCGCGGCTGGCCTCTGACATCCTCCCGTCAGTATCCGTGCGGCTTTTAATCCTTTCCTGTGGTGCGATCTCCATTCCAAATGGCACCTGGATATTTATATTTACTGAAGTTTTATAATAAATTTTATATTGTGCGGCGTGCTTCTGAACTGCTCGTGAGTCTTCATGACGTCTGCTCTTAGATGCGAGTGCTGGCACAGAGACCGGGAAATTGGCCTCAAAGAGAAATGGGGCTCCAGAACCTGGTAGAAAGTGCTGGAATCAGTCTGAGGAGAAAATGCCCCCGAATGAGGAGGCTTCAGGGAAGACGGTTGGTGATGGTGGCAGTCTGTGCAGGGGGCACTTCTGCAGGGTCGTCCCGCCCAGGGACCAGGTTTGCTACGGCTTCACCTGCAACCTGCACAGGACAGGTGCAGCCTCTCTAGAGATGACACGATTAATTGAAAGGTGACCCCTGACCCTGTTATCCCTGCTGTATTAGTCAGCATTCTCTAGAGACACAGGAACAATATATTTATAGAGGGGGTGGGTGTTTTAAGGGATTGACTCACACGATCGTGGGAGCTGGCAAGTCCAAAACCTGTACGCCAGGCAGCAGTCCAGAAGTTCGGGTTAGAGTCGATGCTGCAGACTTGAGCCTGCAGAGGTTCTGCAGAGCAGCAGGCTGGAAACTCAGGCAGGGTTTTTTTTTGTTTTTGTTTTTTTTTGAAATTGAAATTGAAATCAAAAATCCTCCAACAAACAAAAGCCCAGGACTAGATGGCTTCACAGGTCAATTCCATCAACATTCAGAGAAGAGCCAACATCCATCCTTCTCAAGCTCTTCCAAAATATTGCAGAGGAAGGAACCCTCCCAAACGCACTCCACGAAGCCACCATCACCCTGACACCCTACTTTTTTCTCCTGTAGTAGAGAACGGAACCACCATTTACTGACTTCACATTGAACATGAATCTCAGAATTCCTGGTTGCCCACTGGTTAAAACTTGGTGCTTTCACTGCCATGGGTTTGATTTCGATCCCTGGTCTGGGAACTAAGATCCCACTGCCTGGATCATACTCATCGCCGTGGCCGTCCCAGCAGAGTCTGTGGGTGAATATGGGACTGGGGCACAGAGGCCCCTCCCGGCCCCGAGACAGAGTCAGGCCAGATGGTGCCCACACCAAGCCGCAGACCCTTCTCAGAACAGCAGGCACAGCACCCTCCTGGCTCTCTTTACCTCGGGCCGGCCCAAGGTACCAAAGCTCCCCACCAGTGAACAGATCCCTCAGGCAGGGTTTCTATGTTACAGTCTTGAGGCCGAATTCCTTCTTCTCAGGGAAACATCAGTCTTTGCTCTTGGGACCTTCAACTGATTGGACGAGGCCCACCCCACTGTGATGGGTGATTGGCTTTACTCAAAGCCCACTGATTTAAATGTTAAATGTTAATCAGGTCTATGCATGCACCCCAGTGTTCATAGCAGCACTATTCACAATAGCCAAGACATGGAAGCAACCTAAATGTCCATCAATAGGCAAATGGATAGGGACTTCCCTGGTGGCGCAGTGGTTAAGAATCGGCCTACCAATGCAGGGGACACAAGTTCAAGCCCTGGTCCGGGAAGATCCCACATGCCTCAGAGCAACTAAGCCCACGCACCACAGCTACTGAGCCTGCGCTCTAGAGCCCGCGAGCCACAACTACTGAAGCCCATGTGCCTAGAGCACGTGCTCCGCCACAAGAGAAGCCACCGCAGTGAGAAGCCCCCATGCCGCAAATAAGAGCAGCCCCTGCTCACTGCAACTAGAGAGAGCCCGTGTGCAGCAACGAAGACCCAATGCAGCCAAAAATAAATTAATTAAATTTTTTAAATACTTAAAAAAAACATGAATGGATAAAGAAGATGTGGCACATATATACAATGGAATATTAGCCATAAAACAGAACGAAATATTGCCATTTGCAGCAACATGGATGGACCTAGAGATTATCAAACTAGGTGAAGTGAGCCAGACAGAGAAAGACAAACATCATATGACATCACTTACATGTGGAACCTAATGAACTTATTTACAAAACAGAAACAAATTCACAGACATAGAAAGCAAACTTATGGTTACCAAAAGGGATAGTGGAGTGGGTGAGATAAATTATGAGTGTGGGATTAGCAGATGCACACTACCATATATAAAATGGGTAAACGACAAGGTCCTACTGTGTAGCACAGGGAACGGTATTGAATATCACGTAATAAACTATCAATATAGTGGAAAAGAATTTGCAAAAGAATATGTATATATGTATATGTGTATGTGTGTGTGTATATATGTATATATATATATTTATATATACACACACAGTCATATATATATAGAATCACTTTGCTGTACACCAGAAACTAACATAACATCGTAAATCAACTAAACTTCAATAATTTTTTAAAAAAATTTTTAAAATGTTAATCACATCTGAAATACACCTTCACAGCGACGCTAGTCTGGTGTTTGACCAAGCAAGTGGACCTCAGAGCCCAGCCTAGTTGATATGTACAATTAACCATCACACCAATCCCCCTCGGACTGGATTATGCCAGCCCTAACTGGGGACCCAGAAGACCTGCAGCAGCGCCTGGGATTACAATGGACACCTGCCCTCCCAAACACCAGCTGCCCCAAGTGCAGCTCCTGGTGTGGCCAGCCCCACTCACCCTGTGCACCTCCCTGGCTTGCAATAGCACCTGCACCACCTCAGTGAGCCCCTGGGCCCAAAGTGCGGGAGATGGTCCGAATCCCGTTTCACTGGCCTGGCTCTGTGAAGGATGCAAAGTGGCCCCTCACATGGTCCCGTCTTCAAGGACTTGTTTCATCAGGAAAGTAACATCGGGCCCCAAAGGGCTGTATTACAAGAATAGGGAGGCGCAGAGGAGGGGGAGATTCGCTCCCACTGGGAGGGCAGTGATAGACCAGAAGGGCAGGCTGCCCTCCAGACACTAATGTAGGGAAAAAAGAATGACAAGAGGTAGCTGCAGAATGAAGCTGCCCCATCTGCCCTCAGCTCTGTGCTGGAGGAAGATGAAAGATAAAGGGCCTCACTGGGCAAAGTTTTGCGAAATCCTTTGCAAGAGAGTATTATAGCAAGAGACTGAAATTACAGGCCAAATATAAAGAAAGCTGTGTTTTAATATGTAATTCAGATGCCACTGTGTGGGTGCCAGAAGCCGGGGCCCTGTGTGAGTGGTCTGTTTCCTGCCATCCTGAAGGGGGCTCAGTTCCAGCTTGAGGCCGCTTGCCCACTTCAGGCACATTTTTTCTGCTAAAAGAGTATCACTGATTTCAGCATCAAAATTACAGTTCAAAATTAAAAAATAGTCATTCTGCATTTTCCACATACTAAGTTTACCATTCCTTTTTTTTAAAAAAATTATTGAAACATAGTTGATTTACGCTGTTGTGTTAGTTTCAGGTATACAGCAAAGTGATTCAGTTTATATATATATATATATATATAAAACTATCTATAGATATATAACCATCTACATATTATTTTTTAGATTCTTTTCCCTTATAGGGTATTACAAGACATTGAGTATAGTTCCCTGTGCTGTACAGTAGGTCCTTGTCAATTATGTATTTTATATATAGTAGTGTGTATCTGTTAATCCCAAACTCCTAATTTATCCCTCCCCCGCTTCCCCTTTGGTAACCATAAGCTTGTTTTCTATGTCTGTGAGTCTATTTTCTGTTTTGTAAGTAAGTTCATTTGTATCATTTTTTTAAAATTCTACATATAAGTGATATCATAGGATATTTGTCTTTGTCTGAATTAATTCACTTAGTATGATAATCTCTAGGTCCATCTATGTTGCTGCAAATGGCATTACTTCATTCTTTTTCATGGCTGAGTAGTATTCCAGTGTGTGTGTGTGTGTGTGTGTGTGTGTGTGTGTGTGTACACACACACACACATATATATAGACATATATATACCACATCTTCTTTATCCATTCCTCTGTTGATGGACATTTAGGTTGCTTCCATGCCTTGGCTGTTGTAAACAGTGCTGCTATGAACATTGGGGTGCATGTGTCTTTTCAAATTAGAGTTTTCTCTGGCTATATGCCCAGGAGTTGGATTACAGGATGGTAGCTCTGTTTTTTTTTTATCCATAAAACCTAAAGAGCATTGTAATAGGCGCTAATTTTCTCTGCTGAATCCTAAAACTGACTATCACATCATCACAAGCTCTGGGCCGCAAAATTCACCCCTCTTTTTCCCCTGTACTAGATTCCTGCTCTTTAAAAGTCAGGTTTGTAAAGACATTAGAAGGTTGGATTATAGTGAAACTCAACTTATGAATGGCAGCCCTCCAACAGGGTCATAAATTCAGAGTCTTTAAAATAAGTCCCTTTGAGCAGAGCAGCCGTTCCAGAAAACGGTTCTCCTGCCGCTCGCAGAGGACAGGTCGGTGATGACAACCTTAGCCTGGTCACCGGCTGGTGAGGGGTCATCAAAGGCCAGGCCCCAACTAACCTAGCTGGTTTCTTGCCTTGGCCTACTGTCTGATGCTGACTTCCCCAGTTGCTCTGTAATCATACACCTTCCTGGTATCATGACACCCAACACTCAGACACTCAGTGAAGCCTGCTGTCCACTGGGGGAAGCTCTTGGCCTGCCCAGGTTGCTGCTTCTCTCAGGTGAGCAGAGTCACTGGATCAACGGGAGATGCCACAGGGATGATGCTTTGCCCCAGAACCAAACCCAGCTTTTCTCCATCCCTTAGACGTGGAGAAAGGGTGCTGAGATGAGGGACTGGAAACACAAATCTGTCAAGTCAGAGTCCTGTTTTCTCTCTACACAAATATTGACATGCACATGCAGAATGCAGGGATGGGCATGTATTTGAAGTCAGGTTTTGTTCCTCATAATTAATTTTGACTTTTTACAACTCAAAAAAAGCTTTTGGCTTGCACACTTCAGCAAGTCCTATTTGCTAATTTCCAGGTGGAAACAGGATCACTTTGGAGAGTACAAGGGGACACAGTTAATATGCACGCCAGGACGCCAGGGCCAGACACAGGAGTCTCACCTGCACACACGACAGACCACTTCACTCACTCACGCTACTTTTATTCTCCTCCAGGTGAGAAAATGGCTTTACTTACCACACTTACCAGATGCCCCAAGGCTGCCAGAAGTGAAGGCAGCTGGGCTCATGCCCTCGATGGGTCCCGATAGCTGAGGCCTGCAGTTTGCACC